ACAAACAAGATTAACAAAACTGTGGTAAAACATGGCTATGACAAAAACGTGACTATGGTACAAAACAAGACTATGGCATGGCTGTGACAAAAAAATCAAACCTGACGTGGCGAGGGGTGACGAAAAGTGACGAAGACGCACTGGCACAGGACATGGGAAACGAGGACTATTTAAACACATGAGGGAGGGGAACCCCAGGTGTACACAATAGGTAATAAAGACATGACGAGACACCAGACATTCCCTTAGACGTGACAGGAAGTTAGAACAGTGTGGGAATCTCCTCCAGCCTCTTCATTATTCCCCCTTTCTTCTAACTTTCAGCTTTCTCTATTAGTCTTTTTGCCCCTCTGTTTGTCTGACCGGAGCCATCTCTGCTCTTTCCCCATCCCACTTCCTCTCTTTTCTGAGTGACCAACCCCATCCTCGCCTCCTTCTCATCGTTTCTGCTTTCTTTATTCGTTCCTTTCCCTCCTTCTCGTCTCCTTCAACGTTGCCGCGGCAACAGCCCCTCTAACCTCCCTCTAATCCGTCGCTTTCTCCTTGAAAACATTCATAAAATCGTAACGTCCGTTTAAACATTGGCAAATCACAGTCATTTTCCGCCATTACCATAATTACCATAAACAAACCGGGCCATTACGGAGAGATTTGCATCTCAGGCCTCCACAAAGCATTTTGGGCTACGAGAAAACAAAAAAAATACGGCTGGCCGGTTTCACAGAAGGAGCTTTTTTTCCGACTAAATTGCAGCAAAACATTAAGTGTCTGGTAATGGCATTTGGTGGAAGGAGAGAACGACTAAATTGGGAAATTACCCTCAACCTGTTTCGTCTTTGGAAAACATTTGCTGTGAAAAGTGGGGAGTGTTTAGTCACCGAACGCGTTTCAACTTTAACTACACGTTCCCATCTGGAAAAAGGGCATCGGATGGAGCTTACCGCCGTTTTTTAAATGTCACGCTTAAAAAAAACCACTTGTTTCAGCTGAAATCCTTCACAAACACAGTCATGAACTTTTTCTCATCTACAGATAAACACAAACATGCAAACCCACAACCAGAGACACACAAACTCACTTGGTTTCTTTTTCTTTTTTTAAAAAAGTCTATTTTTTTCACGTATTTCAGTCTGAAACCTGAAAAGAAAAAGAGGCTAACAGATATAGCGATCAATAAAAACTCTTATTAAGCCGTAAAGTCCCGTCTGGGTTTTTCGGGTTGACGTTTAATCTTCCCCTGTCCTTTGCTTGGTGTTTAGATGAGCGCATTATGATGGATAATGTGCTGGTTTTGTCCATAAAGCGGCTGTCAAACTAAAGACTCTACGGAGAGGAGTTCTCCTCTGGAATAATAGACGGCTATTATAAAACAGCACGGAGCCATTTTTTGGTGATAAGAGACACACTTTTAAGCCTTTGAAAAAGTGGAATATACTTTGCTGTCCTTGGATGAGAGCGCCCAGCCCTTGCGTGGTGTCAATTTGTCAATTTCAGGCCTTTTTTCTTTTCTCGACGTCCCTTTTTGTTCCCTTTTATGGCCGTTCCATTTAGTGGGCGAATGACTTTCTGAAGCCGTCTCCTGCTCCGTCTCTTTTCAGGGAGATGAAGTCCTGACTGTCATCAAAACGAAGGCTCAGTGGCCGGCGTGGCAGCCTCTCAACATGTGAGTATCACAGAGGGTTTAATCCTAATTGGCGTAACCCAGAACAAGGTATTTGAGTGTGTGAGTGTTAGCTGGTTCCTGGTGTTTCCACTTACTAGTTACAAGTTGTTCTTTTAACACAACTATTCAGAAAATCGCATATTTCCATCAATTTGAATACTTATTCAGTACATTGTGTTCTGGATGCTTGTGGACTGTTAATCTACCAGACGAAAAGCAATATGTAGATCAATTGAATGTAAATTATGAATGTTTCATGCAAATTAATATTTTGGTTTAATGGGTTAATTCATTAAGGCTATTTTGAGCTAAAGTTGAACTTCTGACGCACGTCTCATCGTTTCCGGTATTTCAGAGCCGTGACACGAACAGGATTTAACCGTTTAAAAATGGAGCTGCCGTATTATTAATGCAACATGTTTACTGTAAACTAGCGCTGGGTTTTTAAACGGGGGCAATTAAAATATGTTAGTTCCTACCGGCAAAAAGTTTCTTGTTTGTTTTTGGGGTACTGGAGTTGATGTTTGGTGATTGAAACTAATAGAACCGGTGGCCTGGATCCAAACCGGCCCTGGACTGCCAGTAAAACTAAAAAATAAAAAACACAAATGAGGAGTCATTTTATCGCCCCGTTGATTCACACCGATTGTTCCAAAACACACTGGAAAAAACCTCTGATCCATTGGTCTGCCGGTCGTCTAATGGGCAGCATTTTCCAGTCTTGGCCATTTGTTGTCGTTGGCCACTGTGAGGAAGTGCACGTCTACCTGTTCTGCTGGGGAAACTGCTGCAATTTGGCATCAATTTGGCATTTCCATTTGGCATCTAATGAACTATCTGCTTTAAATCTGACTTTAACAGGAAGATACTAGGACCAAAAATGTCTGAAAATCCAATTATGTTGCTCTCTCAGTTGTTTTTGGCTTTGTGTATTAATGCAAAGTTTCAAATTCTTTAGTTTGCCTTTAATTCTCCGTCCATCAAAGCACATTTTGATGCCCGTTCCTTTAATGGCGGGGACTCAGGCTGGACTGAATCCATCTCTCTGCTCTGGGAAGGCTGAAGGGAAGTGGAACGGGGAAGGTTACGGCTCTTCAGAGGTTTGAAAGGAGAGCAGAAAATGAAATACGGTGCTGCTGTCAGTGAGGTTGAGATGAGCTGAAGTTCTCACGGAGTGGCTGAAGAAACTTTAAAATGAAACATTTAAGTGGAAAAGTTCTCCTGTGGAGCCACCGTGTGGTCCTCACTCATGAATTCAAGCCTTGACTTTGTGAATTCTTCCAGGAAAACCTAAGAAACAGTTTGAAAAGTTAAAGAAGATGCACTTTAGTTGCCGGGGGCAACCTTTACTCATCATTATTTATATTGTTTTCTGCACATTGGATATATTTTGCCCAACCTCCATTCTAAGCATTAAGCTAACAAAATAAACCAAACTAAATCATGATGTCTTTTTAAAAAGCTGCCTGACGGTTCCCGTACCAATATTAAGAAAGATTGTGAAAAAATAAATAAATAAGCACCTCTGTAATTAAGAAAAAAACAAACACTTCATGTGCTCTTTAAATAGAAGATTACTTTGGCTCAATTAGCGAGTGAAAATCAGCTTTCTGGTAAAAAAAAACTAAAAGAAACACATTTAATTGAGTGCTGGAAATACTTAAAGTCCAAATCCATGAGAACATTTGTCACTTGAGTTGCTGTTATTGAAATCCAGATGTTCCTAAGTATAAAGGCTGGTAACATGATGTTTTTAGGTGACTCTTTAGAAGCATCTGAAGGGTCAGACTGATTGATCTGAGCCAGTTCTCTCCCAGGAATTAGTTTAAAAGCAATTAGAAACTTATCACAGCTCTAGCCTCCAGGACCTCACCAGCACAAACACACACACACACACACCCACACACACACACACACGTACTGTATCTTTCTCCAAACATCCGTTTAATTACCCCTTCCTTCTAGTGCTAGTCTGTCATTTAGGATATATTCTGCCACAATTACAGAGGATAACAATCACATTCAGGCACACAGAAGCACCGGGCAGGAAACCATCTCATTTCATTCAGTTTTACCAGGAAAACTCTTCGGGAATCTCATATTTGTGCTCATGTCTTTGTTGAGAGGGGATGAATAATCACAGTGAGTGTTTTTTGCAAAGTTTTCAATAGGCTATATTTCAAATAAGCTCATTGTTTAATTGTTAAACTGGAGACAAAAATGCACTGTGCAGAAAAATAAAGGGTTTTCTTGGAGCGTTTGAAAGCTCCAGACCTTTAATCCAACAATTAGCAGTGTCACAGTAGTGTTGGTCAGAGGTCCATCCATCCATCCATTATTATCCATTATTATTCCTTAATGGGGTCGTGGGGGACTGGAGTCTATCCCAGTAGCCAATGGGGAGAGGCGGGGTCACCCTGGACGGTCCCCAGTCCATCACAGGGACACACAGAGACACGCAAGGACCAACAACCACACACACTCACACTAAGGGCCGTTTGGAGTCCAACCAACCTAACATGCAGGTTTTTGGACGGTGGGAGGAAGCCGGAGAACCCGGAGAGAACCCACAGACACAGGAGAACATGCAGAACCACCCAGAAAGGTCCTGGTTCCCCCGGGACTCCAACCCAGAACCCTCTGGTCCTGGT